GTCCGCTAAGGCATAGGACACACACAGGCTTTCCTCCTCACCAACGACATTAAACACCGTGTCTACACCGGACGCGAGCGGCAAAATACAGTAGAACCCTTATAATCAGTGACGCTGTGTACACTGGATGCGACACGATGCGACAAAACCCCGACATTAAACTGATGTCTTGTTCTATTTATGACGTACTGACACAAAGTTAAAATGATTTGCAATGGTCGCTTTGTCGCGTCCAGTGTAGACTTGCGGCGCGACGCGACAACTGTAGTGTTCGGTATAGACACAGTGAGTGAAGCCGAGAGCAAGATATGCCTCGTCATATTTTCTGCATTTAGCTTTTAAATGACCAGCACCTGCTTGGGTCTGTGCGACTTATCTATGGCTTTTCTCTTCCCTTTCACAAATCGATCCATCTCCCATTCTAAGTTAAGTCCTTTGACTGTTTACTGTTTTATTTATGTTCTTTTTCTGCTGATGACCCGCACCCCCCCTGCAATACTCGTGCGCGCCCCACACTTTGAGAACCACTGCTTTGCGTGAACATTTGGGCGGCGTTATGCAAATCTTCCCACATCATGACGTAGACATGTGGGGGCGTGTTAGAACAAGCTGTTTTAGGTAGGCGTGGTTGACTCTTAACTTTTATAAAGAATATCTCTTTAGATTTGAGACTTTAGGCTTTGCAACTTTACAGATCTTCTTTATGCACCAAGAGCTTGTAACACTCCAAAGAGAAAGGAAGAATTGAAATCACATCATATGACCCCTTTAACGGCATGCTGAAACTAAACTTTTTTTAAAATAATTTTAATATGGATAACATGTCAACTGTAATGTAAGAAAATTAAATGTTGGTTTTAATATATTATCTTCACTCTGATCATTTATAAAACATAAGTTCACCTTAAAAATTCCGAGCTGGCATTCTAAATTGTACAAGTGCAGATAAGGAAAGATTAAAAAAAAAACTTAAAGAAAGAAAAAAAAAGAAAGCTTACCTAAAATTATGTTGAGTATGAGCAACATCAAACTCCCTCCCTGGTGCATTTTTTACTGAGGAAAATCCCGATGTCGTTGAGGCGGGTTGTTAATTTAACACGAGCATGACCACTGTCGGGAGAGACTTTCTTTTGATTCCATAAGATACCTAACATACTGTGCCCTGTAATATAGCCTCTCTGTGTAGTGATTCCTGGATTTCGTCTCTGTTCCATCACGGCTGCCGTGTCACCGCAACTCAATCCTACATCAGTCGCCTAATTAAACAGCAGCAGAAAACAGGTGCGAAACCGAGGCCAAGAAACACACGGAACGGATTTGGGAGTGGAGACACCTACGAAAGTGCTGAAATATTAACAGGTCGTGTTGACTGTCAGCATCTCGGTCACAGTAATATACACCAGAGCAGCGACAGGTAGAAACAAGCACAAGTGGGTGTGTGTAAGATCATGGGCCCTCAGTGTCAGTTCTGCACGCGGTAAAACAGCACGAGCATATTCAAGTTTACAACAGGCCTATAATAGCGACGATAGGTTAATTGTTTCATGTGCAGGTGCGAATGCAAGGACTGAAAATAGTGAAAATAATTTTTTAGAGCAACCCTTTCAAAATGTTATAGTATGCTATTCATTCATAAAACGTATTAAATTTAACTTTAAAACAGATCGTCACAATTGATTTAGTACCTTTTGTACCTGACTATCCAATCATTTAAAAACCCAATCTGTGGCTCATTTACATTGTACATTCTCATTTGAAAATTAGTTATAAATATTAATTTGATTGGTTCCTGATTCCTGAAGGCAATCCCATCATAAAACTTTTTGACCCACTTTTGTTGGAACCACTGTAGTTACAATCTGTGGTAACTATTGTAACCATAATACATTTACATTTATGCATTTGGCAGATGCTTTTATCCAAAATGACTTGAGTTCAAGGTACACATTTGCATTTTAATATAGACATTTCCCTGATTGTTATGGGCCTTGAAATCACAATTTTCTGGTTCCATGATTAAACTACTGAAACTCCTTGTATATACAAAACAGTTTGAAACAATTTGATCTTAACTCCTTTTATATGAATTAACCTTAACCTGCTCTAACTCAAGTAACATTAAGGCTTTCAGTTCACTTCTGTGAAGTTGCATCAAATTGCATCAATAAGATGCCATTTACGCTGACAGAGTCACACAAAACTGATACAAGTCAATCATTTTCATAAAGTCTCCTTGATATTACACACCATTTGATGGTAAAATGAAGTAGCAGAAAAAGACATGAAATACAACCATCCATTCTCAAGTATCTTACATGTTTTGACAAACTAACATTCAAATAAAAGAGCATGCAATTTTCCAAAGACTTATTTTCCAATGTATGAACAATCTTAACACGTTTCAGGAAGTTACATTTAGACCTAGAATGTTTCCCCAATGCCGCTCACGGACAATCGCAAGCCATATGGCTTTCGAAGATGGAGTAAAAAAGAAAACAAACCTGAAACATTCATCTGCAAAAAAAAGCGCCCTGATTAAAATCCCAACTCTCACATAACAGGCTGTTTACATGCGGAGAATGTTCATTGATTGTACCAACTACATACAAAGATACAGCAAGATGAAAAAATAAAAAAAATTATGACAAGTTATATCTGCATTAATACATTTGCAAATGAGTACATTCTGAAAAATAGATATGACATGCCTTTTGGAAATACTCAAAAATACAAAAAGGTTTTCCTTTAACTTTTTTTCATGAAGCTGCATGTTTTTAGTACAATATGCTTTGTACAAAATTAATGCACATTACAATGAACTGGTTGTACATATGAAACAAATCTCTGCATCATGTTTTACACTTAATACACTACTGCTCTTTGACAATCATACAAAATATTTTTCTTTGCAAGAAAGTGCCAGGGCCTAACGGTAGTTGCAACCCATCTCCCAACATCTCAGCTATCATTCTTGACTAAGGATGCCATTCAGTTTAGCATAATTTGACTGTTTTGCATCAATCTAGGGAGAAGGAATACTTGACACTAATAAAATGCTACTTACTATTTAATACTATGTTCAAAATGTATATGTAACCATTGCTGAATCAGTCTATTCTATGAAAGAAATACTGTGCTTGTGGACTCAGTCAAACAGAGCAGGATCCTTGGGATCACAATTTCCCTTTTGTCCTTCCTCTTCTCTTTCAATTGGGAAGTACCACAGGATATTTAGAAGTACACCTTACAAGGTTTTCTTTCTTTCTTTTTTTTTTTTTAAAGAATTCATTAAAAAAGTTTTTTTTTAAATTTCAGCAAAAATAAAAAGAAATTACTATGACAGGGTCACAATCCAATATAGACAAATGATGTAATCAGTGATTGTCTATTGCTAAGAATGGCCCATTTATCAGAAAACAGCACACTGTAAACACAAACAACATAAATGGCACCAGTGACATGAGCATTTACAAATAGGACAGAGCAGAAAAGGAGAGAAGGTAATACAACTAGCCTGGCCCTGCTTCACTCACCCTGAATGGCACTACTGTAGTTTCAACTCTTACTCTGTATTACTCAATTTGAAGTATCGCATATAACTGTGGAATTGAAAAGGCGATTTAAGAAGAATGAGATGAAGAAAAAAATGTTTTTTTTGCAGTATGATTTTACCTTACTCCCAGACTTTCATACACACTCATGTCACACAATACCTCTTGACACGGCTACACCTCCCCCCTCCCCTAAAATAAAAGAAAAACCAGAACATCAGGGGCAGTCAGGTTTAAACCACAGCGATGAGACTGTTGTTATGCTGGTGCAATAAACAGGGCTTTACCAGGTTTCAGCCCTCCATCTTCTTATTTGCGGTTCAGTTAGAATAGATCAGCTCTGGGCAAATGCTACATTAACTCCAAAAGCTGACATGAAAATACTTCCATGTAATTAACACTACAACATAAAGGTGACATCTCTTTAAACAACACCAGTAAAAAAAAAGAAAAAAAAAGAAAACTAAAATATAAAAAATACACAGGTTAAATATGAAACAAGGAGCAAAACAGTATTTTAAAAAATGTGTAATAAAACAGTAGCTGATAAAAAAAAAATATTTTGAGGTGCTACTAATTAACAACTAATATGTTGCTGGCTCTTGAAAGGTGAATAAATATCTGTGGAGACAGCAGCTGGAAGTTACAGAGTTCTGATGCGTTGGTAGGAAATTTCTTATTTAAACAATTTAAGAAGTTAGTCATTGCAAATCTTTCACTATAAAATAGACATCACTCTGGTTTAAACCATTCTCAATCACAATCACATCACACACACACACATATATATATATTATATATATATATATATATATATATATATATAAAAAAAAACACACAATTCATGAACAAAACAATAATCTTCCCTGAACATGCTCTTTGAGAAATAACACATTTTGGCAAACAAAACAGGCCAGGAGTTGAGAGAACATTGATTTGACGTAAACACCAAGCAAAGTGTACAGATGGGGAGGAATGCATAATGAAAACATTAATGAAAAAAAAAACCATTCACTCACAAGCATTTAACTTCTGTCAGACAGTATGATTTTCTTACTGGCCATTCCTTATGAAGTTGGTCAAAAGCCCAAGTGTCAACCAATCCCATTGGAGCACCAAAAGACAACATGATCCTCTTCTCTTCTGACTGCTACACATTCAATTTTGTACGGGATGAAACAACTGAGGAAACCACACAAGAAACTTCCAATCCCTCTGGCTGCACAAATGACATAACTTTTGATATTATCATAGCAATGAGAATTTGGGGGAATAAAAAAAAAGTTAATTTCAAGATTAAATGGCAATGATGTTGTAATGCAAAATGCATATGCAAAATGCTTTGTTACTGTCCTGTCCCACTATGTGTGCTCAGTCAGGGGGAAGGAGGTCATGAAGCCGAAACTGTTCACGAACATGTGGCCGCACATCCTCATTCTGTGGACAGATAACAATGGAACATATGAATATGTATTACACTTGTACATGTTCACAGAGGCATCTTGAAAGGAAAATCAAGAAAACTAAGAGGTGAAGAACACATTACAACATACCAACTCCACCAGTTTCTCCAAAAAAGGTACCAGCTTCAGAAGTTCACTGTCATTTTTGTCCATAAACCAGCTCTCAATTGGGATCCCATTGGAAAGCTGAGTGAAACACACAGGTTGGTGATTTTAATTATAAAGATTTTCCTTCATCTCTTTTATTATTGGGTAATCAACCCAAAGAGCCCAGTCATGCACCTGAACTCTTTACTTATGTATACTTTACACAAGTACCAATGAAAATGAAAGCTTCATTACTTTCATTTTACTCAAAAATTACTAATATGTGCTTTGGAAAAAAAAACAAAAAACAAACTATTCTGGGTGGGCTGGGGGATTAAAATATATTAAATATTTATATTAAAATATAAAATTTAACAATAAATGATTTAGACCCTTATATAGTTAGAATATTGAAAAAATTGTGATTTACAGATATTTTCTATTAAAAGTGTGATTGATCGTGTAAATTATTACAATCAAAAAATAAAAAGGTTACTTTTAAATTGGGCTGGGTATAGAGTTTAATGCGTCTTAGGCACCGACCAAATTGCCTCGATACCATTGAACATCAAAAAATGTGTTGTCGTTCGGTACCAAATTTCTTTTCTAAGGGGTTAATCTCATCAACGTCAGTTAGACAATAAGCATGCAGCATGCTTGATGTGCCCAAATCAAGTGCTGATGATTGGCTGTGGCGAGGCAACAAGGAAAAACACTAGTTTACGCCAGTTATGCCCAGAGACGTGACTCACACGCGAGTCTGTAGTGTGTAAGCGTCAACCACACAAGCCCCTCTCCAAAACTACTAATGAAGTCAGCGGCGCTATAACTGGGACTCTGACAGGTAAGGTTAAGTTAGGTTTAGCAAACAAACAAACTCGGCTAACTTGTAGTGGTACATGCTTGTGTACTAATTAAGCTAACGTTTCTGTGCACGGTGACTTAGTCCTATAAACTGGGACCAACGAAACGTTAGATAATGTTTGGATGTATGGCTACAGATAGCTAGCTAAATCGATGCTAAAAATGCTTTAAGGTTGACAGTAACTGATCAAGTTCAACTCAAATTAAACTAGTTATCTTGCACTTATCCATAAAGTTGGCTGCATTAACAGCTTAGCTTTATTTATTTATTTTTTTTCCTCTTCACATTATAATAATAATTAGTTACATTTATATAGCGATTTTCTGGGTACTTAAAGCGATTTACATGAAAGCGGGGGTCTCTCCTCAACCACCACCAGTGTGCAGCATCCACCTGGATGATGCGATGGCAGCCATATTGCACCAGAACGCCCACCACACACCAGCTTATTGGTGGAGAGGAGACAGAGAGATGAAGCCAATCACTGTATGGGGATGATTAGGAGGCCATGATGGTCAGAGGCCAATGGGCAAATTTGGCCAGGATGCCGGGGTTATACCCCTACTCTTTTTCGAAGGACATCCTGGGATTTTTAATGACCACAGAGAGTCAGGACCTTGGTTTAACGTCTCATCCGAAGGACGGTGCTTTTTACAGTATAGTGTCCCCGTCACTAAACTGGGGCGTTAGGACCCACACAGACTGCAGGGTGAGCACCCCCTGCTGGCCTCATTAATGTTATTGCCTCTGCCCCTGCGACCCTGGCATGAGGAGACCATCAATTGTCAATTCGTTCACACTGGCAGAAAAAGGAAAAATGATGAAGGAAAGGCAAGATGAGTGCCACAGTCACAAACTTCACTGTTAAATGTTTGCTGCCTTTGCAGCAGTGAGCCTCACATACTGACTTGAAACTGTTCATTTTGAACTGAAAACTACCTGAACTTTATTAAAACTATTTGCACTGATTTATTGTGTTGGTTACATTTTGCTCCTTTATGATTTTTTGTTCCTTTGTGCAGAGTCTTTGAATCTGTAAAAGTCAACAAACTGAGAAAAAAATTAAAATAAAACCAAAAAAAAATGTTTTTTTTTTTTTTGAGGTAACGTGTAACATATTCTTGTTAAAACAGATTTCACAAAATTGGTAAAAAAAAATAAAATAATAAATATCGCTCAGGAACTGGTATCGAAGTCAAGGTATAGAAAATTATTAAGGTATCAATATCGAAAAATTTTAACCAGCCCTAGTTTTAAATACTCTTAAGCTGTAATTCATTTTAATAAAAGGCAACCTGGATCTGCTCACCTGATAAGCAAAGGCTTGTGGTGAGTTATCAATAATTATAGTCTTGGACAGGTCCCGTCCAAGGATATTCAGATCCTTAATGTAGTTTCCTTGCACACATACACAGTGCTCACGAAATAATCGGTGCCTAGAACATGTTGGAAACACACACATAGAGAGAAGAACGACGAAATAAATCTCCAGGATTAGAATCAATAATGCATTCAAAGCAAAGTGTTGACACCTGAGGATGGTGTGGAGTTTACATGTGCCAGAGACCAAAGCTCCCCATCTACTCCAATCTCTCAATCCCTCATTGTAACCAAACCCTACAAAGAAACTCTGCACAGCAATGACAAAGCTGAGGCAGTGTTACCCAACAACTGACTCCCAGCCTAATTTTACATTTATGACAAAAACTTTTTTTAAAATAAAGTAACAGAAGAAAATGTTAAAAAATACTTTAAGATTTTTTACAAATTATTTTACTTTAAACAGCTGTGTCGTAAGTAAGAGTCTTTGAAATGATAAAAATAAAGGAAAAATAAAAAGAAGTCCACAGACCGCACCAGCTGTTTCCTCGGATCAAGAATGTTCAGCAACTTGTCTGCATAAACTTTCTTAGAGGCAGTGAAGAGAATGATCTAGAAGGGAAAAAAGTCAACAGTGGAACAACTTCAGTCCACTATGAGGAACAGATGTTAACTTAAGCCAGGGTAAAACTTTTCCATGTAATATCATTGCTTATTTAGAGAAAAAGGATGAGAGGTTATGTGGAGTAAAATGGATGAAGGCTTACCTCAAAGATCTGTGACATGCGTTCAAGGAACTCTCTGAAAAATGGCCTCAATCGCACATAAACCTAACAGAAATTGTGAATCAGACTTTAGCCCCTAAGAACACAGGGTTTTAGCAACCCCCAAAAAATTTATAAGTAATCTCTCACTTATAAAGTTTCAAAAATTTCAAATCACTCGACATTATAGACTTGCTTGAGAAAGCAGACTCCTGGACACTTAGTTTCTGAAAATGGCTCTATAGCCACCTCTAGTGTTATGTTACTGACAAACAATGTATTCACACAAAGATAGCGTGGATTTCTACCTGGTATATGACATCTTGGAAGAGTACAGGAAAGGTTAGTGCTGCATCATCCAGCTCATTCAAGCTACAATGGACGAGGGTTTCATCCTGTTGAAGGGAAAAAAATAATCAGGATGTATGCCAAAATGAATCCCATGTAGTAGGAGTAAGTCTCCTGTGGTGTTTCAGACTGACCAGGTCAAGCACCAGGGAGAACTCGGGAGTGCTGCGAGTCTTCAGAGGGAGTGCAGGTTTGCGAGTTAGCTGCTCTTCTGTTAGTGGAGGTACATGTTTGATGAAAAAATACCTGCAAAACATATGAATATAAATGCTTGCTTTTAGACAAAAGGCTCAAATGATACAAAAAAAACACTACAATTATAAATAAAAAAATATTACATAGAACCTACACAACTCTTAAAAATTCACCTTAAGTTCTATTTAAAATGCTAATGGTGGAAAGGGTTTAAACTCTTATTATACTTGGCTTATTATACTCAATGGTAAGGTACTTTATACCATCTACCATATGGAAGTACCTGGAATGTAGGGCTGTCAAAATGACTGAAAAACTAAATTCTGTATGTATGCGTAGTTTAATACAAAGGACTGAAAACCAATCACAAAGAGTACTTTTTTCATTTAAAAGAATGAGATGCAGTGGGATGGGGAAAAACCGCCATAAAGTTTTGAGACATGTTTTTTAAAAGTTGAACTTACATTAATTTTACATGGTTTTCTAAACATGCCCCTCTCTTGTGCGAGACACGAGTGCAACGCTGATAGATGCCCTGCTAGAAAATGTGATAAATATGCGTTCTGTGTGAACGGCTTGGTTTCAGTTTCGCCGTAAACAACATATTCGCCACACTGATGCTCTCGTTTTCCGCTATATATTGAATGAACACCGTAGCAGCACTGCATCTAGTGGGTTCAACTGAATAGGCTAACAAAAGCATTAAAATGCAATGACACTTACATTGACGTCGCATTTCGTGCGCCACTGATAAGGCTGCCTGACAGCTGATGCAGACCTAAAATTCGAATGCAACGTTTTTGCATTCGAATGTGGATTTTTTTTTTCATTCGAAGAATATTCGAAATTCGAATTTATTTTTGACAGCCCTACTGGAATGAACTACAAAGAGGGTGTGAAGGATCAGTCACAATACCGGAGGCTTTCTTTTTTACTGCCACAGTATAGAGGTCAGACAGAATTATGTGTAGCTTAGCAATAATTTTGCCCACCTGATATATAATCCCTGAAAGTCTGTTTTTGCATTCATCCGAAAGAGAACTGAACCAGGATAGAATGTTACAGTCAAACTCTGTATCAAGATATTTAAAAGATACCACCTGCTCAACTTCCTCTCATTTTAGTAACACAGGCTTAAAAAGTATGTGTGCATTGTCAGCACCACAGCAGTTTTTTTCTCTCTGAGAGGGTTTCCAAGTTATCTTTAGTTGATCTTGTACTTGCTGTTTTACTTACTAAATATTTGTTGTGTTTTTCTTGTTATAAATTTAATGTTGTGGCAAATTGTAATGATATGCATGTGTCAAAAAGGTAACTATACAGAATGGGCTAAACAACCAGGCAAGCAATAATCTGAACAACTGGCTTGACCGGGCTAGTAGAAAAAAATCGTATTGTTAAGCCCTGAGCACAGACATTCACTAAAGGTGAACTTACGGGTCAAACACTTCCCACTCCTCTTCATATGATCCTTCAGCTGGGACAGTGAGAGAGGCGTCCACATAACCCCCTGTTGCAGGAGAGCCAGGAGCTGAAATAAAATATAAAACATAAACCACTGTGTCAATATATTCTTGCCCCTGTAAATACACCTTACAGTTCAAAAATTTGAGGTCAGTACAATTGTTATAAATGTTTTTGAAAGACGTCTCTTATGCTCACCAAGACTATTTATTTATTTAATCAAAAATACAAATAAAAACAGATTTAACATTTTAAATTATGATACTATTTCACAGTATTACTCTTTTCTGTTTGGATACAATTTAAATGTAATGTATTCCTGTGATTACAATTACTCCAGTCTTCAGTGTCACATGACACTTCAGAAATCATTCTAATATACTGACTTGGTGCTCAAAAAACATTTCTTCTAAATCAAAATGCTGAAAACAGTTATGTTTGTTTCAATTTAAAGGAGACTGGGCCTAGGTTTGGCTTAAGTGAAGCAATGTCATGTCTTTCACACCTGTAAGAGGAGGCAGGTCAGAGTGGGGGGTGTTTTCATTCTCCTCTGCAGGTGTGTGAGTGGAGGGTGGAGGTCTGAAGGCTGAGGGCATGGCACTGGTATAGAGAGGGCCACTTAAGGGCTCTTTAGATGTGGCAGTACTGCTGGCCATCTCTTCTACTTGCTCCATTTCTAGCTGCTTCACAATCTCTTCTGCCGCCACCACCTGGCCTGGGGAATCCGAGGCTGACATGACAAGACGGGATGATAGTGAAGGAGAAAGAAGGAAAGAAATGCTGATCTCTAATGCTGGTTGTTTATTTAACAAAGACTATTCTTCTTAAATTAAAAAGGCAATCATTGCCAAGAATAATGAATAAAAAATGCTTTATCATTAAAGCTTATTTAAAATAAATATTGTACTAAACAACACAGGTACAACAATATTCTAAAAAGTTTACGTCTTTAGTGTTCAGTTCAGTGTTTTTCATCTCACCATTTTTATTTGCTGGTGAGAAGAAATTGAAGACAGGAGAGAAGATGGTTCCAAGCAGGGTGGTGCGGGGTGGACTGCTCACAACCTCCTCAGAGTCGTCTAATTTCCCATTAGGCTTGACAGCCTTACTCGTGTCATGGTTTGTTGTTTCTATAGGACAAAGTATGAAAATTATCAAATTATGCATAATCAAATTATAAATGCCGAAGAGACCATTTAAAACCCCAACTCCATATAGGTTTATTACTCTATAGTTTTTGCCCTCCTTCAACTGACTGCTTGATACTGAAACCAGAGACTTTATTTGTAATTTTGATCTTTTATTTTTATTTATATATTTATTTGGATTACTACAGTAGCAATTTGTTTTTCTTTAAAAAACTCTGAATTACTTGAAGGCTACATGCCATTGTTTTGATTTAATTTGTTAGTATTTATATTATTAAAGAACTTATGAAAGTGTGTTCACTAGCATATTAGTTTTTGCTGTTGTAATCATAATCATATGATTACATCATAATCATACTAATTAGAGATGCAGTGATGTACTGGCCAATAATCTGTATCGGCCAATAAAAGCAATTTATTTCAGCCGATTATTTCAGGGAAGATTATATCCTGTCAATCAAAAAGGCGTCAGAAAAACATCAAAAGCGTCAGACTGCAACTCATACTGTGTGTGAAGAAAATCTCTCTGTTGAATTTAGGGCTGTCAAAATTAACGTGACAACATTAACAGTTAAAAATAGTGACATTAAAGCAGGCTCTATTTGACTCGATGAATCACCTGTAGTTCAAGCCAGGGTTGCCAGATCCGCAGTTTTTCTCTACACCAAACATTATTTGTAGTAGGGGTGCGCCGATCCGATATTCAGTATCGATATCGCTCCGATACTGGCATTTTCAGCTGGATCGGGGTATCGGTCAGACGAGACCGATCCAAATCCGATATTGTGCGTATACCATTCTGTTATTGTTAAGCGCCACGAAAGCCACAAACACATAATAAAGCCCCATAAAGTTTTCATGCACTATATTTCAAGTGTTCTGAAGCCGTTCCACAGTTTAATGTGAGTTACAGGTGAATATTTAAGTCAAGTTCATGTAAATTCTTGTCTCCGCTGCAGCTGCCTGTCATCCTCCATTCAGCGTTCAAACTGCGTGTCGCGTTCAGTTACGACAGTCAAGACGATAAAACTCTCTCCCAGATGATTCAATGTTCCTAATATTATGCTTGATCTCTAAATAAAGATAAATGGTTTTGCTTAAAAGGACTTTATCTTGCTGGAGTTTCGTGCGGTTTCTAAATCGTGTTACTTTCTACCTGGTGTCTGTTAGATCACAACACTGTTGTAGAGAGCATTATGATCTTCACGAGCACAGTAAATTTAAAACTGTTAAAAGAAAAGGCTCAATAAACTAACGCACAAATTTAATACACTACGCATCTCTTCCCTTTGTGCTTTGAACTTTTGTATTTGGAGCGCTGCGACTCCATGTTGCTTCAAGTGCATCATTCTGCGCATGGGATGTGCATAAGCACTTTGTGCCGTTCTGTATTTTGAGCCTTTCGTATTATACTATTTTTGTGCAAAGAAAGATTATTAATAGCCTTTCTTGTTAGACTCATCTGTCATATAGTGCTGGCCTCATTACTGTGCTATAAATTTAAAAGAAATGTCCTTTAATTTTACAGTACATATATTTATATATAAATATATTACTTGTTTTTCATTAATGTATTTTACAACAATACAAAGAGCAATGTGCATCATTTTACCAGATTTAGTCCTACATTTATTCACTTTTATTTGTTCCCCACTGAATAATGTTTTTTTCCCCTCTAATTTTAGATTTTATAAAATTATTGTGCACTCATGATTTTTCTAGAGTAACTTTTGCTACTGAATTATCCACTAACCTAGTTTATAATAGTATTTAT